CCCAATGAGCGTTGTTGGCTCTCTTGTTCTATTTATACTCTTTGGTATAAATCACTCAAAATGCAACAAAAGTTGAAAACTTCTTGACATTATTTGATTTTTTTGCCTATTATAGGTATGTGATGTTCAGTAGACTGCATGCTACATCACAGATGAAAGGTATAGCAACATGAATGTCTAATAGAAAATAATGTATATAAAATACATTTAATTTTATTATATTATAATTTTTTTTAAATATTTTCAATCCAGGGGTGGATTTAGGGGCCCTTTTGGGAGGTTAAAAAAGAAAAAAAAAGGAAGAAAGAAAGAAAAAAAAATCGATCGCCGAAAACGCTTCAGTGGTTATTTTCAGGTGTCTAGAACACAACAATTTCGCGGGGGCATTCCCAGACTCCCTAGGGTAGTCTCGATCGGCCCCACCTTTGGGTCCCTTCCCCCTTTTCGGACGTCTCTGGATCCACTCCTGTATAATCTATATCAAATAAATTGTCGGTATATTTCAATCCATAGTCTGCAAGATCAGTTTCTTCTTTTCTTGTATTTTAGATTTTAATGAATATGAGAAAATACAAAAAGAACAATTACATCAAAACATCAATAAATTGTTAGTATATTTCTATCCATATTCTACAATGTCAGTTTCTTCTGCAAGTTTCCTTGTATTTTAGATTTTAATTAATATGAGAGAATACAATAATAACAATAAACTTCAATGTTTTATGAATTGACTTCTAGATAAAATCTATCAAATAGTCACAAAATGTAAACAAAAATGATACGGAAGAGTATTAAATTATACCTGTAAATAGATCTCATGTAGAGAAAAAAAAAATTATTGGTGATACGGAAAACTAGCCAAAAGTAGTGAAAATATTTGGCTGTCAACAGCAGTAGCTAGCACTGAACCCATGATGAGGCCCCCTTTAATTCGAGACCAAGACCACTTTTATGGCATGGATGACGCCAGTTGATGGCGGGGGGGGGGGGAGAACCAGGGCCCCCGTCGGGTGGATCCCCCTCCCCTTTCGAGGAGAAAAACCACAATTTGTCGGGGAGAAAAACCACTTTTATGGCATGGATGACGCCAGTTGATGGCGGGGTGGGGGGAAGAACCAGGGCCCCCGTCGGGTGGTGCCCCCTCCCCTTTCGAGGAGAAAAACCACAATTTGTCGGGGAGAAAAAACATGCATTTTCTACATACAGTATTAGTAAACTCTAAAATCGATTGAATAAACCTTTGAAACCCCTAATTGCCAACATTTTCGGGGGTTCCCCACCTGGACCATTTAAAAAATATTTTGAACCCACCCGTCGGGAAAATCTTGGCGTAGCCCATGATTTATGAAAGTACTAAGTGACAAAATACCCTCCAATTCAAGATTCAAGTTTGTTTTAACAATAAGTAAAATTAACTGCAACATTAACAACATGTCGTTTCAAAGGTCTATTCATATAACTTTAGATTTCTAAAGATTCTTCTCTTTTTATCTTTTTGTGCATTTTTTTAAAGCTAGTTTCAGACCACTGGCTGTGAATCAGAAAACGTTTTGACCTTTATTGTGTCATCTTTAGGAATGAGAAAACATGGACAGTGATTACAAAAAGAAAAATGCTGTTTGAGAGTATATTATTGTTAATTCTCCATAAAAAAAATCAGTAAATATTTTGAAATGACCTGTTAACTTTGGCACCGCTTCAAGAAGTGCCAAAAAAAAAAAAAAAAAAAAATACACTCGCGTATAAGACGAGGCTAAGAATAGGAAATTACGATCGAAAAACAGGGTTTTTTTTATAGGCGTTTTTTCGTCAATCACACGCGAATTTATTACTGCAATATGAAGCCACTAAATGTTAGTATGAACAATGAACGTAATTTTAAATACGGGAAATATGATTTTGATTAACATTTGAAAAAATAGGTAGTGTTATTTGGCTCCGTTTTTAGCATCTAGATGGAGCAAAAAAATGCATAAAATGCAGCAAAGTAAGGATACCGACGATAAAACAGTGGGTCGTATTATACGCCCGACATACAAAAATCGTCCAAATATCTTCTCAAAACTAGAACTCTCGGGGTTCGTCTTATACGCGGGTCGTCTTATACGCGAGTATCGGTACTCCTCCCTGATTTGATACATTGCATGATTATCCCAAAGCCCATAGACACAATGCAAAACCAATACACTCAATAAACATATGGGATTCGAAACTTAGTCACAGAAATTCTGACAAGTATAGATTATCAATTTTTGCAGACACGGTTTAAATATCAATCTAAAGTTCAGACTAAAGGAAAAATAATGTCTTTTATCGTCTGTTTCGATAGCTGAGTCTAAGTCCGACAGTTTTGCAGTAGACCATTTAGACAATAATCAGAAATCGGGACTTCAACAAAGGGTAAGTGGAGGGAAGCCTAAAAATATACAGTAGCTTCAATTGCAACAATTCAAATAGAGTATAAATTGTATGTTTACTTTACAGTATGCTGTTCAGATTTGTTTTTCAACATGCTTTCAAAAACAGATTCAAGTAGTATAGCAAGTGAACATCAGGTTTTTATGAAACAAATGGGTGTCCCATGTTGTCTTTTCAGTTTCGGTCTTCATTTAGAGGTTTCATGTACGGTTACCCCTTTGGTCTCTATTTCGAGGTTTCTAATTCGAGATCTGGTACCCAAACTAGTTTCGAATTGGAGAGTGGACTGTTATTATTTTTGGGGTTTCCATTAAAGAATATTCCGAATTCTTTCTCAACACCATCAACATAATCATCATCATTATTATTATTAAGCCTATCAAAATTATTAATTTAATAAAATCATTATTATTAATGACAAATCCGTCATCTTGCCCGGTGTTCCACAGACCGGACATCGTTACCAACCGTCTCGCATCATGCGGGACGGTCCCGCATTTCAAAGTGAATTTTGGATGAAACACGCATTTTGCAGAAACGCATGCGTGATAATATTAATAAATTTGTCACGCATTTAGCACAAGTCGGGGCGTGAAAACGAATTTATCACATTTAGAGGAAAATGTGTTTAAAATTATAAGAAATTGGTTTTATTAAAATATAAAAACGGTCATACAGTTACTTGAGTCATTAGAGAGCCTTCGTTTTCTCGTTCTAGAATCAATTCTCCAAAAAACTCAAATTGTACTAGATTTTATTTAAAATATTTTTGTTTATGTTCCCAGTCTGGCAACAAACCCTCCCAGAAATCGTTTTAAAATATCTTAAAAATGCACAGATCGTCGGAGCGCAAAAGCCTGGGACCCCCACCAAGGCTCCGCCCCTGGACCCCAGTGGGGCCCTTTGTAAAAAAACATTTTTTTTTTCAATATAGGCCTAATATAACGTATGACTTGTTTTTCTGGATATGTTGGCATCGCATTTCGCTAACAAATGGAAATTTAAGTTTAATAGTGAAAAGTCAAATGCTCTGTTGTTGGCCAGTGTCTAAATAGAACCAAACGGACATTAGGAGGAGATTTCATAACTGAAGTTGAAACATAAATACCTAGGTACCCACATTTTGAGGAATTTGAAGGACAACTTCCATAACAGGCCTACATCAAGTTATTTCAAAGGGCAATAAAATTATTGCATATATTAAATCCATTATAGACACGCTTGATGATTTTCACCGCGTGTTTTATAGCGATGTCCTTTGGAAATGTAGGCCTACCCACAATAATATTATTATGCGTATGTTAGTACAAATAATAAATGCCAACGCGGAGAGGACCAACGGATTCATTAACAATTCATTACAACGTAAATACGGGACTCGAAAATTTTCGTTTCAAGATCAGGCAATAAAGCCATATTTTGAATAGTTCGGCTACTGCAATCGATTCGTGCTTTATTTTGTTAATTTCCAACTCTTCAAAAACATCGATATATACAAAATACGATCAAATTGTTAATGAAAATCAGAACTAACCTTGAATTCCTTGATGAATATCAAACCACAACGTAAAATTGCACCCTACGTAAAATTTTGTACATTTAATTTACTTTTCGGTTGAATTTGAACAAAATGAGCAGCGACGTGAAGACTGCTTGGTAAAATGATAACATCAGAAAAATAGAGGAATCGACTCGAGCACCCCCAACATAAACAAGAACAATGAGTTTCGTGTCCGTGTTAATTATTTACTTATTTATTTTTATTTATTTATTTCAATATTAGTATTATTATTAGTTATTATCATTATATTATTATTAATCTCTTTTCCTATGCCATGTGTCTATCACAGGATAGAAATTGTATGACGGTTGTTGATGGTAATTAGTATTAATATACACGCATACTAGTTACGGTCAACAACCGTCAACAACGCTTGTTGACGGTTGTTGACTGTTATTGACGGTAATTAGTATGGCTGCATTTTAAAGAGATTAGAAATACGGTACATTTTTGAAAATTTGAACTACGTTTTGAAAAATCAGAACTTCGTTTTGGGAAAGTAGATCTACATTTTGAGAAATTAGACGTTGATAAATTAGGCATTGGATTTTGCAATTCCATTTTGATTTTTAACATAGACTTTTGCTGCGTATGGCATCCCCATAGTTTACAAAAGCTTATATTCTATATTTGATTCTAATCGTCGTACCTGTTTACATTGAACGTACTTACACTAAACACTTAATCTATGGTCCTCCTTTGGCCGATCGAGTTGACGTAAGAGAGTTTATTAAAACGATTAGCAGTTAGGCCTACATTTAATAGGCCTAATTTAAATTGTTCGGATGAAATATATATTTTTTATAAAGTATCCTCGTTTTTAAACTTTATGGAGACAGTTTAATGCAAGCAGCGCGGTTTCTATCTCTGTTGTTTGAGAATTGAATAAAATAAAATAAATTAAATAGTTTAATTAAGTTATTATTGCCTACTGAATTGTATAGGCAGTGCTGTTGTTTTTTTTTTTTTTTATAAGTTACTCTGGAGTGTTGTAGGCTTATTTGAGAATCACGAAGCATATTCTGACAGCAACAAAACTGATTTATTGCTTTAAGTACTGCAACAATAGCGTTCAGAGTCGAATTTAGAAAGTTTAGATAAAAAGTATTTAGTTTTTATAGGTTTGCAAACACCGGTTTGTGTTACCGAACTAATGTAACTCATTCTAATTAAACTGCGAGCCACGGACTTTTTTTTGCCATAATAGGCTTAAGATTCGATAACAGGCCCTTAAAATTGCTTGACTACACAGGCCTACGTTTTTAATAAATTTAAGTCAATTATAATTAAAAAGCAAATTTTTAATAAGGTGATTGCGGGCACTTAATTTATGGTGACAAATTAATTAAAGGAACAACAGTATACTAAAAGATTAACATTGTTCTGTGTATGCATTTCATTTCTTCAATTTCAACCAAATGACCGCTGGATGTAGTGTGCAAAAGTGCACTAGCGCCGCCTGTCGACTATGGTGTAGCGTAGCTATAGCTTCGGTGCGGTTGTTGATCGGTAGGCCTGGCTTTTACTGGGGTTTAATTGAACTTTGATCAGTGTACATAAGACTAGACATATAATTTGTACAGTATATAGTATCTGTGATTATACCTTGACTTACATACTTGGAATACTACTGGTCTAATACTGCTTATAATGGTGTCAAGGATTCCATTCGATCCGAAGGCGTGTGGTCTCGGTGAGGACTTCAGGCTAACCCGGTTCACCCAGCTGAAAGGATGAGGCTGCAAGGTCCCTCAGGAGGTACTGCTCAAACTCCTAGAGGGGCTAGATGTTGATGACGTGGTTCGAAAGAAACCGTCTGCTGCTGGGAAAATCTGTCTTGTATACTTTATTGTTATTATATTAATTAGGCCTAGAGAGACAAAACCAGGGGTGGCGCCAGGAATTAGCCCGACGGGTGGGGTGGGAGGGCGGCGATTTTCCCGACGAGAGCAAAGTGGGCGTGGTCGGGCATCGCTCAAAATCTTTCGCAAGTACTAGTAGTCAAAGGGGGAAAGTCATCGAAAAATAAAATGACAATTTAGAGAGGTTTCAAAGGATTATGTGCCTTTTTTTTCCCCAAATTGTGGTTTTTCTCCCCGAGGTGGCCCGGCTCTCCCGATGAGGGCCCTGACCTATAAGTATAATAATAATATTAATAAAAAGGCTAGGCCTAGTTAGGCTTAGCCCAACCCAGAATTCGTATTCATAAACCATGCCTAGGCATAAAAGTTTGAAAAGGCAAAATTATGATCGAAGAACTAGAATCGTCATCTTATTTTTCATGATCAATTTTCATTTTTTTTAATTTAAAATAACTTTTAATTTTGACAGGTATTGGAATGGACTCTGCTCTTATACCATTATCTATACCGGGTTTAAATTTAATACAAACTACAGATTTCTTCTACCCATTAGTTGATGATCCCTACATGCAGGTAAATATTCTGTTGAGGTGGTTTTTTGCTATGATCATGCATCATTTTACTCCTCATCATCGTAATAATTGTGATCATTATTATGAACCATCCTCATCATAAATTATCATCATCAACCATAATCATTATCATCAACATCATCATCATATTAATTATCACCGTCATAACCACCATCAACACCTTCAATCGTTATGGCAAAAATTGTTTTGACAGACTGGATTGATACCTTCTCTCATTTATCATGAGATATCAATGCTCTGATAATTTTCTAATTTGGATGAATTATCGCCATACTCTATGTGGTTATTCCTTTAGATAGAAATATAATGTTAATCTTAGGTGTTTCATTTTTTTACATTACTGTAGGGTAAAATAGCGGCAGCAAATGTTTTAAGCGATCTGTATGCCATGGGAACCACCAAGTGTGACAACCTCCTCATGCTACTCGGAGTCCCCAAGACATTTACAGAAAAGCAGCGTGATGTTGTTGTACCACTAGTTATCAAAGGGTTCAAGGTAAGTGGTTGCTAGCAATACGGTGGTTAGCATATCAATACAATGTAGACTCAAGTTATTTTACTCTTACATTATATTAGTAAACATTAAAATAATTGGTGTAACTGTAACCTAATTCATATTCTGCACTGTTATTGTTGAAATATATAGGATGCTGCAGATGAAGCAGGAAGTCAGGTGACTGGAGGTCAAACAGTGGTCAACCCCTGGTTCCTTGTTGGAGGTGTGGCAACTGCTGTCTGTCACAAGGAAGAGTTTGTAATGTATGTAATAATATGAGCAGTTATAATATTTCTTAAAAATAATATTATATTTCAGTCTTCTGTGTGCTTCACAGTATTACCATTTAAAAAAGGGTGTGGTCATTTTCGGGCTGTTCTTCCCGGATAGCGATTTTAGCACACATCCCATGTTGTCCCTAGGGTTTATATTAGTCTATAACAGTTGAGATATTCTCTCCTAAAAATCAAGTGCATACAAATCTTAGTCCTGGTCTTGATACCCATATGTATGTCAGGGTGAGTGAGGCAATGTTGAAAAAACACCTTACGTGACTTGAACTGAGGATTTAAATTTTAATGTCCACTTATTTAAATGCACTGCGATTCTCAGAATGCTCTCCATGTAATATAAGAAGTTTCCCATTATGGATATACATCTGCCAATTTTGTAAGTACTTATAATACTCTATTTATTGTTCTTGTCAGGCCGGACATGGCGGAAGCTGGTGATGTGCTTGTTTTGACCAAGCCTCTAGGAACCCAGATAGCTGTGAATGCCCATCAGTGGCTGGAGGAACCAGATCGTTGGCAGAAGATTAAAGATGTCATCACGCCTGAGGAAGTTGAATGTGCCTACCAGGAGGCAATGTTCAATATGGCATTTCTCAATAAACATGGTAAATTATTAACCAGAGGAATTACATCACTAGAGGAAACAAACTTTATAAAAAATCAAGGTGGCATTAAAAAAAAAACAGTAGTGTGTAGGAATGAAAAAGTAATTGTTTTAGTACTTGGCCTAAATTATGTATACAGTTTTCCCCCCAAATTGAGACCACCTTTGTGACATGAAAATGTGGGTGGTCTCAGGGTTCAGTCGCCACATAGAGGGCTAGCCTAGTGTATTATTGAAGATTGTAAAGTTCTTTTACAAAGTAGTCTTGAATTAGAGGGGTCTCGAATTTTGGGGGTGCACTGTACTAAGATGGGCCATACTAATCCTGTTGAGGACTGTTGGCAAAATCTAGTGGCATTAATGAATTTATTATTAGCAAGCTTTCAATTGTGTAATGACGTGAACTTACAACAGATTCACTCATCCGTGATCATACTACAGATTTATCTTAAAGTGTATCCTAGAATTCAAATGAGAATTCAACATTATCACATCCAGGGATTTGAGATAGAAGGGGCCCAGGGGGACTCATCCGTGATCATACTACAGATTTATCTTAAAGTGTATCCTAGAATTCAAATGAGAATTCAACATTATCACATCCAGGGATTCGGGATAGAAGGGGCCCAGGGGGACTTTCACATGGAGAGTTCACACCACCTCAGCCCCACCATGGTTGGGGCTGAGGTAAGAAAATCTTTGATTATGGCACCTCTAGATAGCCGGAAATGGCACTCTCATCCCATTTTCTCCATTTTATTTATAATTTTGGAAAAATTTAGGGAGGACCTGGGCCAAATCGCCCCCCCCCCTCCCACCTTTGAATTTGCCACTGATTGCAGATCTTATTGTCACACATTCAAGAACTCTTAATAAAGAGCCACCCAACTTTTCTTTTTTTGAAAATAGTCACAGTGCCTATGCTTATTATGACATCAACAAGTATGGTTCATACAAATCAGTTTTGTTATGTAAAAACAATGGAAGAATTTTCCTTCAAATTCACAACTTTTCAGCTGCAAGTTTGATGAAGAAGTTCAACGCACATGCTGCAACAGACGTCACAGGCTTTGGAATCCTTGGGCATGCTAAAAACCTTGCACAACATCAATCACAGAAGTTGAAGTTTGTCATTCATACGTTACCAATTATTGCCAAAATGACGGACACAGCCAAAGTATGTGGAATCAAATTCCAACTTCTACAAGGTTATTCATCTGAAACATCAGGTAAGAGTACAAAACTGACTTGGAACTTCAACATGTTGGTTATTAAATCATTGTGTATTATTACTGTGTTGTATACTATTCACTTGCCGCCAAAAAGGACTGGTGTTGCCCAAAAGCTCTGGTTCAATTTCTGATGTTTACTTATGTTTTTACTGTTATGGTGCAGTGCATGTCCTTTGTAATTTTGTCTTTTTTAAATGTTAATGTTTTTATATTTGAAAAGCTGTACAACCAAGCTTTCTTTGTGTGTATTTATAGGAACAAATACAATTTCTTGCATTTTAGCTGTTGCTTATCATTTTTGTATGTACTGAGATCTAGTCCATGTTTCCCATAGCATTGTTGTTTCCCAGTATTGTGCCTTTTAATTTTTATTATAGTTTATAAAGCATCACATAAAGTGGATAATTTACTAGATTTTTTTAAAAAGAGCATTTCAATTTTCAAAAAGGTTTACCAGATTGTTATTGTAATTCATTCCTCAATCTCATGGTATTTTAATATAATATCTTTAGTATTTATTGACATAAGCAGAGTAGGTTCCAGTATTTTGCAAAAAAAAGTGAATTTTACAAGTAATGTCTTTATTCTTTTGTTCAACAGGTGGTCTTCTTATTGCAATGCCAAGAGAAGATGCCGATGGATTTTTGAAGGAATTTGAGCAAATAAGTGGCAATTCCGCTTGGATTATAGGATCCGTTGAAAACACCTCTGACCCAGATGCTACTATAACTGACAATCCAAATATAATTGAAGTTAAAACAAAAATAACGTAAAAAAAAATACCTTGGCAGCAAAATGTGAGAAACTGAATTGGAAGTGAGTGGTGGCAAGAAAAATTGTTTGACTAAACCGAAAAGGCCAAAAGAAGATTGACAGTATACTAGACTTAGATGTTAGATGTATCACAAACAACCAGATGTTGAAAAGTACAGGTTCTTTATAGTCAGGCTGACTATAGTTAACATTATAAGACATATGTAACATCATCAATGCCGTAGCCAAGATTTTCAAACAGTGCGGGACAATATCAGAGTGGACCCACTTTAAGCATAAATTCAATAATGTGGACCCATTTTCTTAAAAGTTTACTCATTTTATGCAAAAATATGAAAAATCTGGACCCAATTTCTTAAAATTTTTCTCATTTTAGGCTAAATATGAGAAATCTGGACTCATTTTTCAAAAAGTGGACTCATTTTACGCATACAATTGCACAATTTAGACCCATTTTTTAAAATGTGGACCCATTCTTTGTGGGACTGTCCCAATAGCTGGCTACGGCATTGAACATTATCCCTTTACATTCAGTGTTATTGTCTTTTTTCTAGTGTCCACTATGCTGCTACGGTGCTAGTACTGCCTGACCAATCATTCAAATTTCTTTTTACCATGCAGTGTTTACATTTATAAATTTAGAAGAAACAAAAGTAGTGCCATTAGTGGACTCAAAAAATGCCTTCAGGTCACAGGTCAAATATTTTTATCATGCACTTGTTGCTTTTTTGGTTTATGTTATTTCCAACAGTGCCTTTCAAACCTACACTAATAGCTTAGCAGAACTTACATTTTATGAGTGCTGATCATATTTTGTGCATTGGGGCTTCACAATCTATGTTTCATTCGTTAAAGGGATTTTAATTAATTATAATAAATAGTCTGCAATGCAAACAAATACTTTTTAAAACTTTTATTAACATATTGCCTAAGCCTATAAAATTGAGGCCTACAGAGTAAGGCGATTGTACATATCACTACACAAAAAAAAATACAGGCATTCCATTTTATAAAAAATTATCTTTTTACAAATATTCTGTGGCATGTGCAAAACTCTGTTTTTGACTACATAATGTAGATATATAAATAATGTATTTGATTATCAGGTGCTCTTTTCATTACCTTAAAAATAAAATATACAGAATATTATAATAATATTACAGTTCAGGAATCCATAAAATTTATAGCATATAAAGTTCATGACCTAATGAAAGATAGGCCAAACAGCAACTGAATGAAACTGTGTTTATGAATGCGAAGTTGTGCAATTTAATGGGTGTAAGTACTTTAAAATCTAGAAATCAGTAAAAAAAAAAATGCTTTTAACGACCACTTTTGGGACTGGCGTGTCCATGGTCTTTAGAAGCTTTGGTCTCTAAATAGAATAACAAAATAAAAGACATTTGTTAATTTTGGACCACAGTGGTCTTAGATGGGTCTTTAATTAGAGGGAGACTCCACAATACCTCTGTCAGCTTTTCCCTAATGTCTGTTAAAAATTGAGCAGTTTGACTGACATTCCGGGAAGGCTTCAGTAAGGAAAACCTGGTTTCGTTACTTGTGGAATCTTTGTAATGATATTCCCTTAGGAAATCAAAGTTTGAACTTATGGAATGGATGTAATAAACATTTCCCAAGTAACGATCTCATGTTCTTAAAATGATTACAAAACATAATTACAAAAAATATCTAATAAAAAAAATCATACCGTTACAATAGTGGATGTTCTTCATTTGTGAGTTTGAAGTCATGATTATACCAGGGGGGTTGATCCAGTTGGCCCGCCGCCCCCCCCCCCCACATTTTGACACTAAATTTTAAAAATTTCAATGCATATCAGTGCTATGTGTTACTCGCTTATCTATTCTGAAATTGTAGTTCGGGATTTTACAAATCATATCCAGATGCGTAATTATGCTTAGAAATGTTCTTATATTTTGTTCAAGATGATGTTAGATTTAATTAAATTAATTTTATAATACAAATCAGCTAGAAAAAGCAAGTATTTACAAACAATTATTTTGGCACTTCCAGCAGTGGTGGTAGCTGTCAGACAAACATTGACCACCCTCCACCTCCAGTTATCAGATTAACATGTTTGTTTGCTGATGCAAGTTACTGACATGATTCTTCCCTTATATAGTGATATAAATGAACAATTCTGCCATCCTAACTTAAAAATCTCCACTTGACTCCCACTATGAATCACTGCCTGATCATTGATTTGTTAAAATAAGTACATAATCTGCATCCTTAACTTAAATGTATTGTTTGTCATGAGCTAAAAATATTGAAAGTTCAATTCAATATTTGAATTGCATTTATGAATGCGTATTTCAGTATGGTTTACGATTAAAAATTTGAACGAGAAAAACAAATTTCCCATCACTTTAACGACGGTTAACGTTTCTGTATTCTTTTGCATAGACCCTTAAATTGGCTGGCTCGCAAGAATGTGAAAGAACATACCACTTCTGAGCAACTAGTACTACTTGTTTGAGACTTAGAACCTGTGGTTTAAGTGTATTCAGAAATTTTAAACGGTGATATTAGTTTTTTTTCCAAAGAAAAAAATTGCACCTGGCATCTGGGTTTGATTTATGGCCCTCTCCTCTTGCACAGCAATAGAACTGCTTGCCGTAGTTAGGCCCTGCTTTCTTTACGGTCCTCATTACACAGTCCTCGTTGTGGCCCTTGCATTTAGGAGGCGGCCGTGGTCCAGAGAATAACGCTTTCCAGGAGGAGGTCAGTTTTGTTTTGCCCTTTGAATTTGTGGCATCACTTGTTGATTCTTCACAAGATGCATTACTACCTTGACTTGAAGGCTCTGAAATTTCCTCATTTTTTTCTTCTGTTTGACTGTCTTTCTGTGATTCGTCTAAGGTTCTGGTTTCAATTTCCTTAACACAATTCTCTTCGTCTTTGATCACTTTTTGGGGTGTTGTCATTTCATTTTCAGAGCTCTTTGAATTTGTCTTATTAAAAAATTGAAATAGGTTTCCTTTATTAACATCAGTTTTTAGTTTCTTGCTTTTACTGTTAGTACTATAAGGTTTTGCAGTTCTCTTAAGCGTTCCACTTTGTTTTGAGGCGCTGCTGCCTTTAGCAGGCGCAGGCAAAGCCATTGGCTTTTTACTTGGTGATAGTTTTGTAAAGAAACTGGATAACTTCTGTTGTTTCCCACTGAATTCTGGCATGAATTTTGAACATAGAGGCGGCAATTTCTCGGAAGGAACAACTTTGCATTTGAGTTCTGCCTTGACGGGACAATGGTCAGATCCTTCCACTTCTGGCATGATGTCACAGGTAGAGAACTCGGTCTTCAAAAGCTCAACATCTGCAAATATGTAATCAATCCTCGTTCCATAATTTGTCTGCCTAGCACTCGTCATAGAGCACCAGCAGGTAAACGCATGTGTTCTGGTAGGATGCATGAATCGAAATGTATCGACAAAGAGTTTCTCTGATTGCTCAGTTATTGAACCATTTTCATCATTACCCACATCTTCACCAATCGGCTCCTCTGTTTCTGTTTCGTGAAGATCCACCAAAAAGCGATTCAGCCACATCCTCCCAGGCTGGCACATGAAGTATTCCTGCAAGGTCAGTAACACCAACTTGTAAAATGTCTGAGAAACTTAAGCTACACACACATTTATTCAGTTTAAGGTGTCAAAACACTAAGTTTGTTCCATGAAAAAATAAATGGGTGGGTTCACAGGGAGAGTTTTTATGGCTCAGTATGGCTCAAATTGCGCTTTTAGACCACAAGGGTTGGCAACCAAAGTAACACTTATTTAAATTGGCAAATCATTATTTTTGATCTGACAACTTTGTTGTGGCATTAAACAACAGGGGTCCAGACCTGTCCAACTTACTGGGGGGGGGGGGAGGCGGACAAATGCCTCCTGGCCCAGCTTGAGGCAGCACTGCAGGACACACGTCTGCTGTTAGGTGAAATACACCAGGCACAGTTACTGTATATGCTACAAGTAGTAGGACAACGTAGTACATTCCAAAACCCCTATTAAAACAATACCATTTTTGGCTTGAAAGATTGACTCTTAATAAGATTTTGACTGATAACAAGATATTATGATAGGTGGGTGGGTACAAGTGTGTCCTGCCTGTTTGTAATTGTATTGGTAACTATATAAATGGAAAGGTAATTTTACCTCGTCTTGAGGGTCACAATGGTCAATTGGTCGATGACAAGAATTCACATCACCGACAATCACCACATGCCTGCAGATATAAAAAATTAAAATAAATTTGAGTTTTAGAAGGATTTAAATATATCATGCACTAAAATGATAGCCTAGGCTTATTGATCAGTGGTAGTTATGAATTAGGTTTACCGTCCAGCCTTGACCAACGCCTCTGCCCTGGTCTGCAAAAGCCGGTAGAATTTCAGTTTGTAGGCTTGCCTCTCCTCATTCTCGGAAGCTGCCCTTGGACAATAGACACAAATGACCACTAAATCCTTCATATGTCCATCTACACATCTATCATTATCAAGTGAGAAATAAACAAATTATGGAAAAAGTACAGAAAGAAATACTGTAAATATATTAAATATTTAAAATATATTTAAATATTAAATTTTTACATAGCGCTCTTTACCAGAGTCTTCGGTTATATGTGTAATCAGAACTACTAATTTCATACCGAATCATTCACCTCCTACCAGGTACCCATTTATACTCCTGGGAGAGGAGAGAGACAAATGCAGTTGAAGTGTCCAAGGACACCAAGCAGTGTGATGAGCATCGGTCTCGAACCCCCGAATTTCCGATTGAAAGTCCAATGCCTTATGTGCTGTGCCTATAAATGTATGTATTATTAATGATTTAAATAAAGTCATGTAGTCAAATTTCCTTATAGATAATTCCCAGTTTTCTTTTTTTTTTTGTTATGCATTGGAAGAAAGTAGTTTTAATTACTTACAGTAGGAGTAGTTGTTTGAGTCAGGTGACTAGGGCAGCCGTGCTGTGGGTTTGTTTAACATTTGTTGTTGAGGCTATAATGAAATACTGCCAATCAAAGCTGAGGATGTTTAAATTTTCAACATGGAAGAGAAGGTTCATCCATAAGCAGGGAACAGCAGAATTTTAACACAGAATATCAAATTTAATTAAAGCACATATAATTACATTTTATGTTGCGTCATAATTGACCTGCCCTCAGAATCCAGTGCATGTAGATCTTCATCAGAAAAATCTGACGTATCTCCATAGCAACCGATACCCTCCTGAGATGCTGTAAGTACTCCAGATATTCCCTCCTCGGCTAAGACAGGTACAACTGCATCCTTACAATAAATGGCTACACCTATTGAGTGAAAACAAAATTACTTACTGTCATACTGTAAATTTTTCTAATTGTACGGATGATACCTCAAAAACCAGCTCAAATTCGCGCTGGAAAATCGCTAGAAATTCGGTGCGCAGTATCGTAAATACTGCAGTACAATGTTTAAATATTCAGATTAGGTCAAGGCCTAATTTCAGCCAAGTCTACGCAGAAATCGGCCCTTGTTTCCAAAATGAGCCAAATTTGTGGGCTTTGCGCAGAGGATATTATTATTCACCACACAGGCCTTACTATGCATAGAGTGTGGCCTCTTACTGTATTAATTTTTTAATTTTATGTATTTATTTCAATGTTCTAGTAGGCTAGAAAAATCCACGTAAAAATGACAATTGCCTCTCCCCTTGCTGTTCCACTATAAATTTCCCCTCTAATTTGAGACCAATTTTCAAAAACAACCATCAATATTTAAACACCACGGTATATTTATAACCCTAAATTGAGAACAGAGCCCACATTTTCAAATCAAAAAGGTGGCCCCCAAATTGGAAGGCGAACTGGTAATGTACTGGTATGGCTGCAATGATTAGACAAAGGGTTTTTTTTAAAGTTAAATTTCAGGAAATTTCCACTATCAATGAACCAACCTTATTTGTGTTTGTTTTTTGTGGTACCTACCTGAATAACCACTCCTTTTTTTCGAGAAACTGAAAAAGCTTTTGTACCCTTCAACATTTGCAATTGGTTCGTCAAGAAGGTCTCCTAGAAATAAAACCACAAGCGTTACACTTTCATCAACACTTAAGAATAGACTTGCTAGGCCCCCCATCTCAATTCTGTCTGTTGTCGAGCGTACAACAGTACCTAAAGAAGCGCATTTTGCATTGCCTGTCTTGACAACAACAATGAACACGCCGTAGCATACGCGGGGCTAGAATTTCACCTGGGTTTATCAAGCCAAAACTCACTTGTTATTTTTGTTTCTTGGAGGCAAATAATGTCAGCATTCAGGAAATCAAATAGTTGTTTCAAAGGAGTCTTCATAGCCCTAATTCCATTGATATTCCAAGTTAAAATCCGCATGTTTTATGATTCACTATGATCATCCAGGTCTCAAATAAATCGGGTTGGTTGAGGGACACGCTCCCTTATGAATATTCATAATGGACTGCCACTGTAATGGTTATTCATATTTTATCTTGGAATATTATAATTATATGCCAACCAATCAATCACTCAGTCATTGTGATACTTTTATAAATCGATTTTTGAAATCAGTAGGCATATCGATGTTCTGGTGACCCTATATTTGCTAATGCACGCGTTCGAGGCTTGTGGTTGAGTACTTGACTACATGCATTGTTGACATCGAGTTTTGCATTTATTAATATGCCTGGGCTAAAGGTAAATCCGGCTGTCCTACCAAAAGAGGAACTCATCAAGGAATTAACAAGGAATAACATACCGTTACCATCACCAAAATCCCGAAAAGATGTGTACGTAAAACTCTACAGGAAATATTTAAGTACGAGTAATAATCATACAAAGAAGGTTAAAAAGTCTGAATTTTCCAGTGATGAGGATGAGGCCGATGGAGAACCGATTTATAGAAAAAGGTCGATTGAAAAACGAACACGAGGAGCAAAAACAGCCATAGGCTTACAGAATGGAGATGATACCGAGGATGACCCGAGGGTGAGTGGGTTTGCATTGGCCGGCTATCAGGAGCCGGTAAGGGCATAATATGCCAGGTTTTTCGTTTAATGATTCGGGATGGGCTGAATGATACTGAGCATTAGTCGAGTCCAGTCATGTCGTATTCTGATTTTGAAGTTTTATACTCGTGTATTTAATTGAATTGTTTTCTTTGTTTAGATTTTTTTTTTTTTTTTTTTTTTTTTTTTTTTTTTTTTTTTTTTTTTTTTTGAGATGGTGTTATATGGTCTACTCCATTCGGTTTTGTCACGGAATATAGGCCTAAGCTTTATTTGTTAATTTCGCCAGTGCAAAATCACAACGCATTATTTATAGACCCGCTGTAGTTGCACCACAAGTTCTGCTAAGAGAAGGATAATATTTTTATTGCATTATACTCATTATCATTGTGTGTAGGCCTATATGGAACAGTTGATAAACATCAGAGACCCTAAAGTATATTTACAGGAATATTGTCAGTGCCTGTGTACATTATGCAGCCTGTATTGCTTTTGTCTGCATGGCTATTTATATAGAGCGAATTATTCATAATAGACCTAAGCCTGCATGATCTTATTTTTTAATTCCCTTGGGTTACATGGTTTTAGAAACAGGTCTCATCTGTGTTGTTGCAATGGAAAACGATTTTGATGTCACCACGCACGTGTAGGTGACATAAATGTTATCTCATCGTTAAGACAGGCCTATTTATAATTCTTATTTAGGAGAAGGGGTGGTGAGTGATGCGTATGTTTGTGTGCAAAGATGAACCAACTAGGGTATAGATTCTTTTTTAAACTTTATAACAGAAATTAACAAAATTTATATTCAGTACATTCTCGACTGTCTCGAAAATGTGGTGCACTATCACCCCACTGTCTGTTATATGCGAGCCGAATTTGAGTTCATGAAATTGATTGCCATGGGCCGGGTTGGCCATACACTACGTCTATAGAGAAAAAAGAAGAGAAGAAATGAGAAAAGAGATAAAAAAAAATGGCGTGACCATCGACCATTAATGTTTTTTTCTCTTCATGACCACGAGGAAAACACTTTATGAAAACGATTCTTGTTAAAGATGTTAAAATAAATAGGAATTGGTGGTTCGTTGCTCTTTTCATTTGAATAGCGATCGATTCCGACGCGATAGAAAACAATGGTAACTGTTTCAGCATCATAGTTCATTATGGGACAGGGGTCTCCGTATTATTTCAGACAGAAACTCAAGTCAAGCGATATTAATGACAAAACAAGGTCTCCTCGCGTAATGAAATTTACAACATGCTTTAAGTAATTTCGCTCGGTCAACGGAGTGAGGCGGGGTGGGTTAAACACAGTAAAATAACACCAATTATCATAATCATATGTCTCCAGCTGTCTGCGTTAATGATGATGATGATGATGCCATCATCATCAGTTCCATTTCGGATTGGTCATCATGATACCCGTGTTCATAAATATCTGCCTATCCGTTGCCCTCCGCTTCGAGCTTTCTGCACGAATTTTTGTACATTGATGTGGTTATACAATTTGTCCAGGTATACAGTATTCCTTGTTTTCCTTCTACATAACCATAACAAATATTGCTAAGGTGTCGTTTAAGTTGGGGTTATAATAATATGAAAGGGAAAAGGCAGGAGGAGAATGTTAGGAACCAAATATAATTAGACCCAAAGCGAATGGTACTGATGAACAGAGGAGATTTTCTTTAAAGTATGACTCAAAAACTTTATATCGATGCGATTTACGAGAGAGATGCCAATAGGCCAGCCAGGTGTACTCAAGCGATTCGACCAGGTAGAGATTTTCCGATTATCAAAAGGTAAATAGGCATTAGCTGGCCCTTATAATCACCAATGATCGATCGAATCATGTGAAACGGCCGTCAGTCAAACTTGTGATTGTTATCGGGGTTTAAGTTCAATGAGGTTCGCCTCTTCACACCATAATGGCGTTATCATTAGGTGTTTTTATATTTGAATATAGTCTAGTTAATTCTTCCTCCCTTTAACCTGTTTTTGTAACCCGATAACCCGATTATTTTATATTATATGGTTTGAAAGCGAAAAAAAAAATTACCAGAATCAATGAAAAATGTTTTACAGATCAAACTGTTTTAATCAGCCGTGGAGATATTTTAACTATTTTAGCTTCATGATCATTGCTCATATTTTAACCTCATTATAATTATTAATTGTTGAATTTGAGAAAAAAGTTCAAATGAACAAGATTGTTATGTGCGCCCTCTACGTCACGAGGGAATTTCCCAGTTTCTGAAAGAAGAAAGCACCGACGTACGCATCTATTTAGGGCAGGTTGGTTAGTAGGCTTCGTTTCTGAGGATTGCGTCTTTAAAAGCTTCAGTTTAGATCTTCAGAATACAAACAAGAAGAAGAAATTGCAATTATGGTTGGCATGTTTATTTATTATTGTAGAAGAAATAGATACCATATTTCTAAATTAGATTAACAAATCGTTGTTACAGAATGATGAGGTGAATGAATCAAAGTGCTAGGCGTAGGCTAGGCGCCTTATGTAGGGAAGAGGGTGGTTTGCCTTATTTCTCTAGGTAGGCCAGGGAAAATTCAGGCCAGGTAATGCTTCTTCATCCTGGCCTTCTCGAGCTAGGTAGACAGAGAGGGGCAATACGTTTTTGGGCCTGGCGGCCTAGACTCGTCGGTGTAGCTAGCCACATAAATTGCCACTTCTAAGGGCTATAGAATGAATGTTATTTAATGAAATTCACTTTTTTATCTATTTATAATGTAAGATATTTATTATAATTATAGAAAGAATAGTAGGTGGTCTGATGATATGATGATTCTATACTGTATGATGATACCAGATGGTGAAAAGTGGATATAACTTATGTATTTCCTTCTTAGTCCTATCACAAAATGAGCAATGCTACCTTTGTCCTCACATTTTATTATTAAGTATTGCTGTCGCATCGCAGTGGTGGACTTCCCATACTGTAATTAACTTATAGTAATTGCACGGATTTGCATTGAAAATGTCTAGTAAAATAGGTGCGCATAATCATAATTACATTTTTGATGTATTGATAAATAGGTCAAGACCTGTTTTTTTTCGGCAAAATCTGCACTTATTTTCTGAATAAGTAGACAGATTTGTAGGTCTCATATTTTGCGCTAAGGATACAGTATTCCCCATGGAGGCCTTATTTTAAGCCAGGACCTCATACAGAAGCAGTTTTATAATTAAATTTGAAACAAATTGTGGATGTCGTTTTGGTAGAAATCTTTTTTGATACTACATTTCTGGAGTTCCAGACTGTAAAATAAGGCTTGTGTAGGGAATATATCTCATGCTCAAAAATTAGGCCTAGAATTCTGAAATATCAGATAATTGCTTAATTCAAGTTCAAGCTTTATTTGAAATTATCTTCATTGTAGCTTTGCAGCTAAATTATGAATGATACATTAAAGGAAAATATACCTTGGTCTATTGTATACATTGCACTAAGGTTACAAAACAACAATATAAATTTACAAAAAAATAAATAAATAAGTAGATAAATATATTTAAGTAAATAAAAAAGTAGAATAAATAAATAAAAATAAATAAATTCATTGTAGTGACTATAATATTAATGCAGGAAAATAGGAAATATTGAATGATGTAATAATTTGTTTTGTTTACGTTAATGTGTTTTATCTATACATAGAGTGCACAGCTAATGAAAACAAAGTTGTTTCATGGCATACTGCGAGAAGTGGAAAGTTTAAACCCAAGAGAGCTGAAGGAAGAACTCGAAAGCAGAGATGAAGAAGTTGGGCCACTTGTAGGCATGTTGATACATATTATTTTAATGGTTTTAAATTATGTAAGCCAAGATTTACCTTAACATATGTTTTTTTTTTTACTTGAAAATGATAAAAATTTGATATCCCCAAGTTGTATATTTGTGCAAGTTATTGGCTTTTTAAATGAAAATTTAGAACCTGATAATAATTTACTTTGCTTATTAACACCATTCCTTTAGTCTTGGCTTATATATATTGTAAGGAATTTTATAGTAAAAGAAAATTAATTAATTGGACCATTGTTTTATCAATCGATCTTATTTAAGCTTTTAAATGAATAATTGCAGTGACTGTATACTAGATTTGACCACAGACAGTAAATGATGAGTTATTAACTTTTACAAGCAAACAGCTTGTAGTATCATTTATGTATTCTCTCTGTAGTAAACTTTGCACTTGTTCTTTTTTAGCCTCTACTATGAGGGTCTACCAGCGTAAACTTGCTAGGCTGCTAACTGAAGAAAGGAAGTCAGGCAGACAAGAGTATGAAGAAATAGAGGAGGAAGAACATTACAGTGATTCAGACATTGGTGATAAGGCTTGAATATTCATTATTATTTTGTGTGTAATTAATTTCATTAATTGTTTTTAATCTATTTTATTTTTATGTACTATAACTTTGATCGTTAAGATCTGTTCACCTAGCTTGGAAGTTGTAGGTATAAAAAGTAGAGGCAGTGGGTACCATGAATGCAAACAAATTCAGTAGAAACTATGTTTTACAATTCCCACAGACACTGGCCTAGGTCACTGAAAGCTAGACAAAGCTAGGCACAGAAAACTAGATTTTTGTATGAGGCCTAACACGATACAATACCAGCAAATATAAGTCAATGAATCATTCGTATAAACAAGACTTTTTTTTTTCATTTTAATTATGGCTTGATTGAAGAGATTTAGAAATTCCTTTTTTGTACAACCAACAGCTGCTTGCTTTTTTACAAAATTACCTTCAAAGGAGCGCCTTACCATATGTTTTATTTTTCGGCGCTTTACAAACCATCTTTAAGTACCGTAAAACTTAACAAGACAAATATGAAATCTTTTGTTATGTGATTTCATTTGTCTATTTCTTGAATATTTACGTAACCTGAATGATAAATCAATATTGCCAATTAGTAGTTCAAGGTCAATTGACATAAACAACTCAAGTATACACACAACAAAAGCTTATGTTGACCTCGACTGATCATGGATAGCAGTATGTGTGGTTCGAATCATTGGTTTATTTATGCAGTTTCATCCAGCTAATTATTTTACTCATAAAATACCAACATCTGATATAAATTGACTTAACCCTTTCCAGTCTGCCCCATTACCATTGCCTGGGGCTGTACCAAAGCTGGGAAATTACATCATCTACACTAAATGTTGGGTTTTTACTGGGCGCAGACGTTTTATTTGGTCTGAATACAGGAGGCCCTCTACAGAGATACTCCTACATCACTCTCAAAAAATCCTATAGAGGGCAGCCTAGCTATAAAATAATTATGAAATCTGTACGGGGTGTACATACGACGCCCTCGCTATAAAGTATGGTCAAAGAGGGCGTCGTCGCGATGCCATATGACTGGAAAGGGTTAAATTTACAAATTGGTTTTTTTTTATTTGTTTGTTAGAAGAGGAAGAAGAGGAAGAGGAGGAAGAAGAGGAAGAGGAGGTGGTTCTGGAGAATATAGAGGAAGCACCAGATACACAAGTTCAAGCAGGAGGGGACACAGGGTAAGTATGTCCTATATCCTACTTCAAGTAGGGGTTCCTGGTAGCAAGGAGTTGTTCTAGATAGCAGCTCCCTGCTGGTAGGATGTGTGTGACTGGCTCCAGCAAAACTCTCAGGTTGCTGAAAAATGCAAAATATAGTTCTTTGATATTTAAAAATTTTTGAAGATTGCACCAGTAGCAGATTCAATAGCGGGGTTGGGGAGGGCTGGCCTGTTCCCGACCCCCTGAATTTGTCAAAATTATTTTTAAAATGTGGAAAAAAGCAAGGTATGTTCAAATTTAAGTCCGAGAGTGCCATTTCCAGCCATCTATAATGTGCCATAATTATAAATTTTCTTTGAAACATTTTCACTGGTAAATTTGCGCTCAGTGTGAGGCATTACCCTCTTTGGGTGGGGTTTACAGTAATGCCTTGAAAAAACAACACATACAGTCATAGACTAGGCATAGACTGGAATGATATTCATTTATTGATAGAAGGCTAGCCTAGGCCTAATCAGTGGTTCTGTTATTTCACAATATTATTTACCAGTAAAATTACTTTGGTAGGACACTGCCCTATATTTCAGATTCCTTGATTCGCAACTGTGTACGAAATATAATTGCTAGGTGGTTTTAATGTGAGCTCAGGTGAAATTTATATTGATTATTAAATCTCTATACATTAATAATAATTTAGTATTCTTTCCTATAATTTCTAGACCACGTCAAAGGAACATTCCTCGTAAGCCAGTCCAGCCTCCGAGTCAACCGAAAAGCAAACCTGCCGGTCTTGTGCCGATATGGGTCCAAATGCTGGTCTTATTCGGCCTTTCATTTCTCATTTTCGCAATATGGTATAACATGGAGACAGTCAACAACCCTGCGGAGATTAGTAAAAATTAGTTCACACCCTTTGCGCTATTGACAGGCTAGTCGATACGGTGACATGTGCGGTTGTGACATAATTGTTGCAGATGATCTTTTGAAGACCACTTAATATTTAAACGTTCCAAATGAGATGTTACGTTTTTAAACATTTAATTAAATGCTTTGTCTAGCCAGGCTTTTTATATATTAATGAGATGTTTGGAAAAAATGAATGAAATGGATTTTTATATTTTTTTGGTCTATTACCAGCCAACTTCCCTGGTAAGCAATTGCATGAGGCTCATTTATGGTGTTATTTGGAGAAGTGATGTAAATTTGGTAGTGGCTATTGTTAAATATATCTGATTGGATGTTATTGTCTTAATTAAATCCATACATACAATAACATCCAGTTAGCATTAGGAGTACTTTCAAGACAATATCTACTGCCAATACATTTTTTACCTTGCAACTTTAATATTCTACCTACTCTACTTTTAATGTATTTTATTTGTCCCATTCAAGTTTTATTGTATCATGTTTCTCTGAACATTTCTTAGATTAACATAAATAAATTTGTAATCATTAATAAATTATTAAGAATAAATAAATTAGCATATAATGCAAATGAGTAAACTAAATTTGTGTATTAGAATAGATAGAATTTTAAACCAAAAAATTATTTTGAGTTCAATTTAAATATATAACTAGCTTGGGTGAATTTATTTTACATTGTAGAAAATTTATTAACATTTTTATGCTGATGTCAATTTGGTATTTTATATATTAATTAAAAAATATCAATCTATCAATGGAATTTGATTGACAGAACTTTAAGCTCTATCATAATTTATGTGACAAATTTGAGTGAATTGCCCATATATAGATGGCACGATGATGTCATCATATCCATATTTGTTCATGATGTTGTCATATACATATATTATGGACAAATGACAGATTATTTATCACAAAGTTTGATGGTATAGAGCTTAAAATTCTGTCCACACACACTGTCAAATTTTATGTGACAAACATCTGTCAAATTTCCGTCAAATTTCCATATTTGTGTATAATATGACATCATCATGCCCATATATGGGCACATCACACAAATTTGTCATATAAAAGTTGATAGTGTTGATAGGGCTTTAGAAGGTGGGTAATCAATAATTGAACTTCAGAAACTGCATGTATTATTTGTTGTGTGTGATATTTCTTCACTTGTGTACAATAATTCAACAGTATTGTCCTTTTTTTTTATATAAACTTCAGCCTTATAAGGCCCTAGTTACTCCTGAAGGATTTGGTTTGTGAATTATATTATCTGAGAGATAACAGTTAATGCTTTAGGCTTATCGTTCAATCCAGAGGCCATACCTCTTAGTAATTATTAATTATGATTTGAGATCCTGTGTATATAGCTAGTGCAGAATAAATATTTGAAAAAAAAATTTTTATTCTTGTGTTGATGACACCAACGTTGTATGGAGGCAAAATGGCACCAGCTGTTTCTGTCACTTCCTCAACCTAGGCTCGTAAACCAGGGAGGTTTCTATTTGGCCGGGTCATCCTCGAATAACAGATTTCATCTCTTATTTCCATCCATGGACGTCAATCCATGCTTGAAAGTGGGTGGGGGGAGACGAATGGGAAAAAGGAAGCATTGGGGCATAATTGTTGTTCTTTCCACCTGCAATGTAAAGTTTTAACTATTAATGTTAGAATGCTCAAGCTCTAGGGGATTTGTCCTTGGATGCCACAACTGTTATTCTCCCAGCTCTCATAAGAATGCTCTTTAAAGACATCTGGTTATAAGCTTGCACCCCCCATGTTCTTTATTAAGGCACACTCACTACCTGCTGAACATGTATAGCCACACCCACAGACACACCCACACCCACTCAGTAACAACTGACAGAAGTACACAGTACTATGTTTCAGTGTTTGATAATTTATTTGTTACACAAGACTTAAAATATAGATATAATAAAAAAGTACCCTTCAGAAGTTTTTACCATAAATACCATGTTTGTCCAATTTTTTAAAATATAATAAATAACATTGAAAATAGTTTATTTCCAGCAAGTACCCCAAAGAAAAGTCTTATGCTTAAGATTGCATTGTAAAATTTAGTTTATATCATATTTGGAAGATAAAATAAACTAGTAGTGCACAGAGCATACTGTATTTATGTATATAAAATCATAAAATGAGAGTGTTATATTTTGCATTGAACAATGTTTGGTACATTCATGAAAACAGTTACATGGAGCTCCAACTAGTTTTGTGTTTAGCTGTAGTACTGCATGTTAAATATTTTAAGTACAGTATTAATTTACTACCTTTGAACTTATTTCTAAAACTTTCTACTTCTCAAAGGGTCCCATCCTGTCATGCTGCTACCCGTATCCAACAACATCTCATTCACAAGGGCTACAGAGAAAAAAGAACACTGGGCAACCCCTCTGCTCTTCTCAAATGATGTGGTCTTTCAAACCTTTGTATTTTCCACCATAAAAATCTCTCTTTATTTTTTACGTACACTGGTTTATAGTCCTTATCAAATTTAATTAGATTTGCGCCACCCCTGATGACAATGCTGCTGCTCAGGGATGGTACCAGCTGGTGGGTTGACTGGGCCCAGCCCAGATGTCGGGGAGGGACGGTAGAATCTGTCGGGAGGAAAATGAAACATGATTGTGTTGAGGTGGTGTGGAATGATGGATCACCAGTGGGTAAAATGTAGACACCACCCCTGCTGCTGTTTGTGGTGTCCCTGCAGGGGTGGATTAGGGGGGGGGGCCCCAAATGAGGAATCCCAAAATATTATGTATAGAGAGGTTAATCTTGGACCAGTACTTTAAGCCCCCATACATTAGATACTGTTGCTAACGCTCCACAAGAAGGCAGTGTAAATCTTAATAGTGGTTAGTGGGAGATCCAGAAATTGAGTATAGAGGGGGTCCAGGGAGGGATTTCAAAAAAAATTCATGATTATGGCACCTCTACATGTGCGGAAATGGCACTGTCGGATTTTAATTTGAATATAAATTTCTTTTTCTCTCCACTTTTTTTATTTAGGGGGGTCCGGGCCGGCTGGAAATCTGCAATTGGTGGTTACAATTTTATCAGCCAAAATGCGTAGCTATCTGTGATGTTTAGACATCACTTCGAGTATTAGGCCTAGGTCAACCAACCAACCCTACTTTCAAATTTTTACTTTGCTTAAACAACAGTTTTACTGGCCATATAATAGTTTAATTGCTCAAAACCTCTTGCATCAACTATAGTTTTCCTTCTACAAATTTATATTTAATGTTATAAAAAATTAATTTAAAAAAATTATATAACCCAATTGAAAACATTTTTTTTTCATTCTGATATAAGCTCTTTAAGCATTTCTGCACACATCATTAGACAACGTGGTACATGGAAACATCCTGTAGGAAAAAATAATAGAAAGAATTAACAGAATGAATGTAAATCAAGTATCCTTAACTCATGAACACACAATATCTAATTTCATCCAAAAATTTGGGCAGGGGTCGTGCCAGCAGGAGGCCGGGGGCCAGGGCCACCTGTCGGGAAGGGAAAAAAATGTATATGTATTTTCTACATCTTAGTAGACTGCAAAATTGATTAAACAAGCCATTTTCAAAATTTACTACTGGTAATCTTAGCAAATTAATATTGAAACCCAATGTAGTTATTCTCTCATTTTAATATATTTGAGTCCCGATTTTTTACGAACATGTCACATATGTTGTTGTGAATTTCCTACCTTTAAATGGTCCACCTTTAAAGTCCATGGATGTATGTCCTTCTCTATCTAAGTACCCAAACCATTCACCATTAGAACCATCAGTAAACTTGAAATAAAAAAAAATATATTGCTTTAGAGTCAGAATCAAACTCTTGTGTGTCTTGTATATATTATTTATTATATACTGCATACAGAGTCTAGGCATCTGACTGGTTAAGAAGCGGGCAATAGAAAGTACTATTAACATAATGGGATAGTACTTTTTTGATCTGCCGCGCTAGGTACAATCTCTAGGCCGCGTTGCTATGTAATTTATGACACGCACAAACTGTAAAGGAGACGCGACCTCTAAAAAGCTCGCTAAGAGAGATTGACCCTTTGATTGCCTAGGCCTAGGAACAAAGCCTAGGCCTACTTGGCGTGTACTATTTTCATTACGTTTTAGGTCTTGTAGAATCTATGTACTGTATGAGGTATATAAAACAAATACTGATTGCTCTGGATTCGGGGAACGGAGAAGTCTTTAGACCCTCGGTGATGTGGAGACTGTAGCCTATCTTTCCGGAAGATAGGCTACGGTCTCCACATCACCTTGGGGCAATACATTTAACCATTCCCCAAATCTAGAGAAGTCAATATATATATACTCTTCTTTAGTGATTTGATATATTACCAATTACGGGATTTGAGATGAACTAGTCAGTAAGGTGTTCTACTAACTAAATGCGGTTTATAAATAATAGCTGTTACTCAGTCATAAGAACAAATGGTGGTACCCTGTATTTACAGGAGTTGAACCCAGGATTTGTTATTGGAAGGCAAGTAGTACTTAGACCATCATGTACTTAGACCATCATGTCACCTACAAGACATTTTCTAGCACCAACTTACATGTTCCATTGAATAGTCAAAAACCTTCTCAAATGCACTGAGATATTGAGCATCTCTCGTTTCTTTAAACGCCATCAGAAACGCAATCAGAGCTTCATTGTGCGGCCACCACAGTTTCATATTCCACTCGAGCTGCGTCGGAGACAAGCCATTGGCATCCAGGAAGCAGAATATTCCACCGTACTTATCATCCCAGCCATGGTTGAATGGTTTGAGGATGAAATCACGAATGGCAGTTTCTTTTAGCTTTTCATTCTGAGTCTTGACTGCATGTTGTAGAAGGAACCAACCTGTCTCTATTGCATGACCTGAAAAATTGATATTACCTTATTAGTAATATTTACGCACTCCAAATCCATCTACTACCAGTCTAGTATTGTAATTGGATAAAAAAAAAATATTTGTTCCCATCAGTATTTGAACCCAAGACCCTCCAGCCAAGCTAGTATAATACAGTGGCATATCAACAGCAAGTATATTTCTTTTTTTATAATATTTTCAATAAATGCATAAATATTATTGTATTATCTGTATAATTTCCTCTACTTAATTACCTGGATTAATTAATCTTCCCTGTGATCCACGCAATTCTTTTCCGTCAGTTCCAACAAACTCTAATACTACACTGCCCTCTCTCTGATGGTAGAGAATAATCATAACATGCACAGAAATTACTGTATATGAAGAAGTAGACTATAAGAACAGATGAAAAATGTAAATATATAATAGAAATGTCACTTAAATAACTTACAAGGGGTTATTCTTTAAAATATTAAGTAGAAATATAAATAATATTAATCAAAGGAATATACAAGTGTCTCAAAACAAAATAAAATATAGAGAAAAATAAGAGCAAAATCGTACTTGTAAGTGTTGTAAAGTTTGTTCAACACTCCATTCTAACAAAGATGAGTATTTTTTCTGAAGTTCAACATCATCCCAGCAGACCTCGTCGACTAAGTTGAAGAATATCATAGCAATGGCTAAGGCATTTGTTGGCGGAGATCCTGACAGTTCCGGTCGGCCTAGCTCAGAATTGTCCACTCTTGCCCAGTATTCCACCTTGTCTAGCATTTTTACTGCTTCACCCTGTAGAATAACATTAAAATACAATTTTTTTTTTTTTTTAAATTACAGACACTTTCAGCACTCATCCTGCAGTGGTAAAGGGGATGGGGGAGGGGAAAGCTTTTTGGCCAGATGCCTTTGGAACCACCAGGCCCTGGTAAGGGTGTAAGGGCAAAGTCCTGGTGGGGTTGAGTTCGTATTGACCCTTTATCAGTGAAACTCTCTCCCTGGGCTCTATTAAACATTCCTGGATTCGCCACTCATATTATTTATTTTATCATCAAAAACATTTAGAATGCAGCGACAAACATAATTAAGAAATGAGCACAAGTAAAATCCCACAATTGAATTGGCGACCAGGAACCAAAAGACCACCACTCTCAAAAAGCCTCAGGGCCCCCGGGCCGAATCGTGATGCCCCTGTCTACTACACAATGTAAGCAAGATCATACACACTAGATATATAGTGTCTCGAGAAGAATTCCAGTTGGATGAGCAGATAGGTTCAATCCTCTTCCTTACTTACTTTATACTTTTGTTCTTTAGTAGCCCTCCCTAGCTCGGACATGGCAAGTAAATAGAAACACTCTGAGAAAATTGTTCTCTGAACTTTTATAGGCTGACCATCCTTAGTAACTGAGAAGAAACATTTTGCACTGTTCTGATCTTTGACATGTTTCATCAAGAATTCTCCACCTTAAACAAATAATATATGAATGAAAAAAATTGTTTTAGAATGCATTTTTCAATAAAAAGAGAGAACAAATCAATGTACGAGAAGTCAAACACATTTACTTTGGTTAGCGATTAAATGATTATCATTTAAATTAATATAAGTAAATGAACAGGCGCCATGTGTAAGGTAAAACAAGTCGGATGGCCGAGCGGTTAAGGCAGGGGAGCCTCATCATACAGCCATAATATTGGCCCTGGTTCGAACGGCATGTTCACCTATGGTTCTGGTGGTGAATCAAGTCTTCTCGGATAAAGACTATAAACCGTAGGCCCAGTGTACACAATTTTCTCTCATATGCATTTTAAAGAACTCAGTAGATCATTCAAGATCAGTAGGGGGTTACCCCGGATTACTGGTTCATACAGCCCTGTTGTGGACAGACAAGAGTAGCTGGTACCATTTTTCCAGTTAGCTCAGACATGAAGAGACCCTTGGGGGAAAAAAAGTTAGTACAAGCTAATCCACCCCTCAAGCACTTTGAGACCATTTCGCTATAAAAATCCAACAGCATTACATTACATATTGCTTGACAATTTTATAATAACAAGAAATAAGACATGATATAATTGTTATCAACATATCTTTCATCCACACAAAATTGGTATATTTACCCTTAATAGCAGCCTTTAACACCTGGTCTGTGTGATATTTTGGTACTGTGTTGTAGAGTTTGCAGTACATCCACACCTGTCGGCCTTGAAGCCAGCAGTATTTGGTCTCATCATACACCTGTCCATCTTTACCTAGACAGGTGAAAAATCCACTGAAACAGATAACACTTGTTAAGAAAAAGTAATATTAATTTTTGGCATGTCTAAATATGTCGTTCACAGTATAGCCCTGGTAATTGAAACAGTAACACAATAATAAAAATAATAATAACAATTATAATAAAAAGTTGTTTATGATTACCCATTTTCATCATCATGTGAATACTTGAGCCAGAAGTCAACTGCATTGTCCAATTCAACCTCCACCTTGGAAAGAAATTCTTGAAGTCTTGATTGTGAACCCATTTCTCCTTTGTGATGACCAGCTATACTAACAGTGAAAGAAAAAAAAACAATAAGCTAAATTATACAGAAAGAAAAATCATTTGTAATTGTAATTAATGGAAATATGCAAAAATACAGGACTGGAAAATAAGTAGATTTGCAAAAATGACCCTCCTGTTTTTAATATGGAGGGTTTGTGTAGTAGCAGTTTTATTTTACAATGAGTGGAGAAAAACATTTTCCATTTTGTGATTAATTGATTTAAATTTTAATGAGTACATGAAAAGACTGACAAAGCCTTACCATGTTGGCCTACTCCCAGCTGAGCAAAAATGCCATGATCGTGGCTAAAAAGACAGCAAGTATGGTCTAATAAGGCCTAGGCCTATCTAAATAAATAGCCTAAAACCTATGCTATCACCTCTTTATAAAGCCCCACTAGACTAGACCATGTATCCAGAAAAAATCCTTACGCACCACACGTTTAAAGTTTATTTTCTACAGATTTTCCCTAATTTACCATAAATCACCACAGAAATGTGACACGACAACAACAACACACGCTTTGTTTTTGTTTATGACCTCAAGTCCTATTTTGCAAATCCATCAAGGTCAGTGGAAATATCCATGTCATAGTAGGGAGATACTCAGTTAATAAACTATAATACTCATCATATTTGTCATATAACACAAGATTAAAGCTCACTAAGATTAATGAAAAAAGTATAATTAATCTAACTATCTATGATTTAAGTCCATTCTATCCCAATGTTCATTTTAATTTTCAAAAGTATACTGTAGTTGAGCCCGTTATAAAATGGAATCGTCAAGATTAAAGTACAGGCGCCACCAGCGTGTCGCGCCACATAACAAAACTGGGCAGCAAAGTAGTAAAGGTTGGGCGAATTTCTGTGGACATAGCCTGGCTCTGGACCTATGTTTAATCTTTAAAATATATTAAAATTAATTCAATAATGGAAGGACTACGATTGGAAGATGTTCAAGAAGACTCACCACAGGTAATTATCAGTACATAGGTCTGTGTAGAAGTACTGGGACAAGTTCTAGGCTAGGCCTAAATAGTGTAGGGTAGCCTAGTCTAGGCATAGGCCTACGTCAGTGTTGGTTGGTGTTGGGCAGGCTTACCTTAGGCCTAGTAGTAAGTATTAGGCTAGGCTGCTGCAACTGTTTTTGTTGTACAAGTAGACCTACATTCTTTAAGACTGTAACAATATACAATGTAATGCATTGTAATCATTTCAATACAATTTATTGAAGAAATCAATTCAATGTTGTGACTTCCTAACTAAGGCTAAGTTTTAGATTACAACAAAAGTAGGAAATAAGAAAGGTTTTTTTTTTTCTATTATTAATTTTATTAAGGACAGTAAACAATTAATGCTAGCCTGTAATAAAAGTTGTGAAATATGATTGAACAAAGTTTGATTTCATGCATTTCTATAATGAAATATAATTAATTATAATTATTTTTTCTTTCAGTCACGGTATTTACTCGGCCTTTTTGAAGAAGATTCTGCAATGCTTGCAAAATATGTCAAGGGGCTGCATGAATCATGCCGAAAAATCCTGGACTGCCAGGCAAGTATCATTGTAATTTGTCAAGGGGAAATTTACAACTTACCTGTCCTTAATCCAGTTATCAATGTCGTATGATCATGTTTATATTTGCTGCGAAGCAGCCAATTCATATTCTTGATAGCAATTTGACCTCTGAAAGGTCATTGTTTGTCAAAAAACAAGGGCCTAAGACGACTGAAAAGCGGAGTTTCCTTCTTTTGTTCTGCCGGGTAAAATCAATTACTTTAGGCGACGTTTGTAGACTAACCAACACGTACCAACGTCTGCATGTCGCCTTATCCTACTCTAGGCCTAGACTAGCTAGGACGGTATAGGCCTAGCCTAGAAGGGACGAAGGTCCCAATGAAAAACAACGTCGCTCCTTGATAGCTAACATTGTCTATTTAACATCACAATAATTCATTATTAGACCTATAGTTGTTTTTTGAATTGTACTCCACAAACCGCAGCCGATACCTCGCACAACTCGAGTAACATCTCGTATCTATTGTCGTGACGTCATGGCTCGCTGGCTCACATTTGCAATGTCTCGCACTTGTGATCAAATAACACGCTGGCTCGCACTTTGGCAACACTCTTTGGCAGTCAACTCACCCCTAGAAAACCCGCCCTTGGAAACTTGCCCCATAAAAAATGTACACTTCCTAGACCATGCAGTCTTCAAAATAAAAATTGTAACCTTTGGTAATCAACTACATTTTCCACATACATAGAAATTTTTGAAACTTTATTAAAAAAAACCTAAACCATAATTCACCACTATAGACACTTTTTGAAAAAAATGAAAAATTACGACTTTGTTACCCAATGAGAAGTGTTCTAATATAGACAATGGGTCGTGTCTCATATTATTTGTTATTTTTTTCGTATTCATTATTTTCACTTGACTCGCATAAATAATTTTGTTCGAAGAACATTGATATGCAGTTGTACTTCGCAGCACTTCACTTGCAATTTGCAATTTCTAGTCTTTATTTACTGTATGTTACCGATATTTTCTTATAACATGAAGTGTTATAGATTGTCAAATTTGTGTTATATACAGTTTTATTATACAGTAGTTCATTTTTAATCATTCAACAACAAATGAAGACAAATTGAAACAATACAAATGGACAAACCGAAAGTTCCACTGATTAATCTCAGATAAGATAGTATAATACATACTGTACAGGTCCGGGAATGCTAAGCTTATGTTGACTTCAGCCAAACATTGCCTATGGAATTCGTTGTGATTTGTTGCAATTGGATTCCATGGTAATCCGGAGTAATAAAGATTGTAGCACCCAATCGCAACAGGTAACAATTGCGATATTGATTAGTTATCAACTACAATGGTGAGCTTTCACACACGATTTTACATGTATTTTGCGATTGGGTGTCGCAATTGCACAACCAATCACAATGCGATGCTAGTCTGAATGGAATATAATATATTTTTTAAGAAAATAAAAAAAAAATAATAAAAAAAAAATAATAATATTTTTAAAAAATTTTATTTATTTATTTTTTTAAAATTTATTTATTTTATTTTTTTTATTTATTTATTTTTTATTTAAATTTTTCATTTGCAAACTGTCACTTTAAGCTTAGCGACTGCAGTGAATAACCTGTTGTTGAAAACAATCATTTATTTTTAATAAGGCTGAATAGATAAAAAGGATCATGTTACTCGATAGTGATTGTATCTAGCATTAGATATAAAAATACAGTAAGCCAGTTTACAAAAATCATTATCTTGGGTTAACGGATAGTTTTGGTGAAAAAAACCTCAAAAAACATGTTGCAAACCTCCCGAAACACTACAAACCCTGGCGCAAGAGTGATTGTCTGAGGGTTGTCTGTTAGAGGTTTCTACCGCTTTCGGGGAGCGCCCTCTCCCTCTTGCCACCCTATGGATCCGCCATTGCATCAGCCAATGACAGTTTATATTGACTGTAATACCGTAGATAGGAATCTGAAGGTGTGCCGTGTGTAAGGAAGCCAGCTTACAATATTATTCAGGGATGTCACCACGCTGGTCGGCGGTGGACGTGCCCGTCCAGCACTCAACATTTCCGACCAGGATTTACAGGCTCCCGACCACCACTATTATTTCAACAGTTTACAAATTGTAACAAAATAATTAGTTTACCTAAACACAATAGACAAATAGATAAAGACAAGAAGAATACAATAAATGTTTCCGTGGTTACGTTAATTGTAACAAAATACTGCACTGCCCTGCTATTCATCGCTAACTTAACAGCCTAGGCCCAGTTGAGTCATAGCGAACGTCGTGGGCCTGCATGACACGGTTGCTCTGTACACATTCAAAGGTTAAAGTTGAAATCGTGACTATTCAAGTGTTTTATTATGAGAGCAGGAAGATTATTAAAAGTTTTATTTCTTTACTTTGTTTTCATTTTGTATTTTAAGTTTTTCACTTTTAATTATAATTGATATATAATGTGTGTAAATGGACAAAAAAATAAATAAATGAGTGCACATGAATCAGTGACATACACATTCATTGTGGTAATCGTCAAACGTGGCTGGGTACAGTCGGATCGACGCTTTGTCACCGGGATTTGTTCATTATTATTTTTTAATCTAAAACAAAGCATGTCAAATATTGAATTTAATTAGGCCTACAGTATTAGTCTCATCTTCATCTGTTTTGTTGCATTCCTCAAATTCTGGCCTAGACCTACCTGGGCCTAGCCTAAAAAAATCGCGTCAGCTAGCCTTTCTTGGGCCTAGGCCTACTCGACTTAGGCCTTTTTGTTTTTAAGAGCTTTCACGAATACGGCGCCCCCCCCTCCCGGGAAAACGTGGAATGGTTGCCGACCGGCACTCCAAAAAGCTGGTGACATCCCTGAATATGTAATAGATACCTGCACTAGTCTGCTGTCTGTTTTCTCTATTGATTATTACACATGCTAGTGTACTGTAGTACAGATACTCAAGGCTCTTGATGTATTATTGATCTCCTAGGCCACCTATACAAGCTCTGTTCTGAAAACATTTAATCATAAAATATATGGATTGTCACTGATAAATTGTTAACAAATGCCAACAAAAAACTAAAATGCAAAACAAAAATTGATTGTGGAGAAATAAAACATGGAGAGAGTGGTAAAGTAGAAATATAGAAGTTATGAGTTCTAATCATAATGGTATAGTATGATGCGAGAAGCTTACGTGTATCGGTATGGTGCATAGGGACTTTTTTTTGATGAGGAACTTGTTTATTTAGTGTACAGTAGGCCTATAATTTTAATATTAAATATTCAAGCATATTCCAACTCAATAAAAAAAAGTAAAAGACAAATATTTTTTTTTTGTTTCAAATATCAATAATATTTTTGCAATTTACAGGTTCAATACTCATAGCTGATTTATTAAATGATATTCACAATTAAAATGAAGTTGAACAAATCGCTAATTTTAAGCATCACTCCGGAATTATTATTGATCATATCAAATTCACTTTATTCCTTGTATACCCACCATTTCTTCTACTTTATTAGTGTACATTTCTCTTCCTTTTCTCAAATTTTTCTGTTTTTGTAAACTGCAAGGACACCGGCATTTTGTACTGTCAACAGATAATAATGATATTAAAAATCTAATTAATATTCTTAATAATTAAATGTACTGATGTAAAAAAGATTGATTTCCAAGAAAATTTTCATAGTATAAACTTGTTTGTTATCATCCAAGAAAAGTCTTTGCTATTACTGTATAGTGCTGTGAAACAATATTGTCCAAGTTCTTGCACTAAAAGAACTGAACCAAATTCTAGCCATTGAAAAATTACTTGCTTATTTTATTGCTTATGGCTCATTGATGTTGATTTTACTTTTCACTCTGTTTACAGTATTTTATGGTTTAATAGCTCTTTCATTTTGAATATTTTCTTTTATTGTGTAGTTTCATTTTTATGACAATTGCAACATAGCTTTATAGAATAGCACCCACTGGGGTGAGATAAGCTTCCCTGTGGAAATGAATGAAGTGGGTGGATTTGGGGGGGGGGCGGCCACAACCCTGGCCCCCTTTTGGGAGATTAAAAAAAGGGGAAAAAAAGAAAGAAAAGGAAAAAAATATAAACACAGAACGCCTCGAATGTTATTTTTGGGCGTCTAGAACGCAAACATTTTGCGGGGAATGTTATTACTGTATAGTGCTGTGAAACAATATTGTCCAAGTTCTTGCACTAAAAGAACTGAACCAAATTCTAGCCATTGAAAAATTACTTGCTTATTTTATTGCTTATGGCTCATTGATGTTGATTTTACTTTTCACTCTGTTTACAGTATTTTATGGTTTAATAGCTCTTTCATTTTGAATATTTTCTTTTATTGTGTAGTTTCATTTTTATGACAATTGCAACATAGCTTTGTAGAATAGCACCCACTGGGGTGAGATAAGCTTCCCTGTGGAAATGAATGAAGTGGGTGGATTTGGGGGGGGGGGGCGGCCACAACCCTGGCCCCCTTTTGGGAGATTAAAAAAAGGGGAAAAAAAGAAAGAAAAGGAAAAAAATATAAACACTGAACGCCTCGAATGTTATTTTTGGGCGTCTAGAACGCAAAAATTTTGCGGGGAATGTACCCGGGCCCCCTAGGACAGTGTTGTCTCGATCGGCCCAACTTTAGCCCCCCTTTAGGCCCCCTTTTGGACATCTCTGGGTTCCGCCCCCGGAAAGGGAAGAATGGAGAATGCTGGCACAGCATTTATTGCCTGTACGGACCTCTAACCTTGAGCCTCCATGCCTTGAAATTGGGGTTCAACAAATTTTCTGTCCATTTTGCTTAGTATAATTGTATAATAAAATTGGTAAATTGACATATTATTATTATTATATGTTGGGATGGTTTAACCATGGAGAAAATAAAATTTTATTTTCTCCATGGTTTAACACAGACTCATGTATGTATTCAATTGATAATTTAGTTCTCGTTTGACGATCCTTTGGAATTGTATGGTACTTTTTTCTGTATTCTATTCAAATTTTGGTAGAATAGAAAAGAATTCTCTTAGCAGTGCTCTTTGTTGAATGTGTTGACATAGGAATGGGAAGAATGTATTCATTCACAATATTATTCAAGTGGAACAGAATACAATCCAAAGACAACGTCAATGATTCTACAGTACAGTACTATTATTAGACTCTTTTTAATTGTATTGGAAAGACTATTGAGGTACATTACAGTACATTGATTACTTATTTTTGGGTAAATTATAGGAGTACTGTACATAAATGTGTTACAGAACTCTTAAGAAAATGTTTGTGATACTGTAGATACAAACCTTTGTTTATTCTGGATATTCATGAAATTTGGTAGTCTGGTTCTTTCTTGAAGTTTAGTAAACAATGACATTAAAAAAAAATCATAGAATTTATATTGTGTCTGTTATCAGTAGGCTACAAGAAATGTTGGTGAGAGAAAAGTACCATAACTTGGTGATTTGTAGATTAAAATCAGTAAAGATGTTTATGATGCACCATGTGAAATGAATAAACATCAGTCTAAACTGAATTGAACTTTATTCATAAACACTTTTGGTTGTAGTGGTGCATCCAAATTAAATGTGTAAATGATGAAACATTGCAAATGACTTGGGTGAACCCAAACTCCTTTCTTGGTATCGAAAGATAGGTAGGCCTACTGTACCTACCCTGTACTCCTAAGATTTGCTAAATGAGGTGTGTCAGGGACCTTCAAACTCACATTAGGGAATTTCTTGTCCATACAGTAAATTAATTCTCCAGCATATTTTGTTATGAAAATGGCTATAAATCTATTTAAAAATGAAAAAAAAAAATGCAGCAAAAAGGAAGTTGGGTAGGGACAAAAGATTTTCTTTTTTTTATTCTCTATACTACAGTACATTTATATCTAGAAATTTTGACATGATTTTTAATTTCATTTAAAAATAGAATTCACTTTGTGCTGCAATGCAAGATCTGTCAGCTAAAGCAATGGAATTCGAACGCTGGGTAAGTTAGAGTTATAAAAATATCATTTCTTGTGTTTGAATGGTTTATTTTTGCCAAGGAAATTGCTAGAGAGTGGGTGTCGAGGGGAGAAATCTGTCTCACAGCTTTTGTGATGTTTCAAAATCAATATTGATTCAGATACAGTAGATTATTTTCATCATAAAAAAACAAGAGTCTAATACCCGATTCACACGTGAAGTTAAATTTAACAAAAAGTAACAAATTGTAAATGAGCGATCTCCAGAGTTATTCCTACCGAGATAAAAAGCATTCTCATGCCTCTGTAAGGTAATGCCAAGGTTTATTTATTCAGTGTTTATTCAATGAACCATTTTTTCCCCTACTGCGATATAGGTCTAGCCTGGGCCTAGTTGAGAACCCCTGTCACAGATGGACTGTTGAACTCACCATCACAGTAAACATTCGAAGCAATCAATACCCTTAACAACTGCTGTACTACTACCACTACTAAACTAGGCATAGCTTCCAACGTTTCTGTCTCGGACTCTTGTAATACTAGTAATAGTACTTAGTACTAACACCACCCCAACGTTCATTTTATGTATATCTTCTTCTTCTACCATTACTAATTAACATCAAATACAAGGGTAATTCATTCATCATTTAGAAAAACTAGGCCTATCTATTTCTAGTGGATCAGAATCGTATACAGAAGGAAGAAAATTCAAAGAACCCAGTGAAACAGTAGATTGTTGTTATGTTGAAATCCCTGCGCATGCGCAGATCCATCCATGTTACATCGAGCGAGGCTGGTAAAGATTACCGAGACATTCCGAGATTTTACAAGGATATTACACGGAGGTACTTTCACACGTGCCGTAAAATGTTACTTTTGGTTACATTTTGTTACATTTGGTAAGTTTTTTGTACGTGTGAATCGGGTATAAGCTGGAATCTACAAAATATGAGGCAACTATTCATTATTTATTGTACACTGACATTATCTACGTAACGACCTTGTCTGTGTACATTATTGCTATGTCTACATTTATTGTGTCACTAACAAAATCGTTTACAAAAGACCTAGACACAATAAGTAGAAGTTATCAATTGTTAAACCAACATCATAACTATCGAATATACAGGGGTCCCAAGTTAGAACAAGTTACATCAGGTGGGATCTCATAGTCCAATTCAATTCAATTCAAATAAACATTAATTTCTTTCAAATAAAATTAAACAAACAATAGGATCAAGATGGTAACATTTAAAATAAAAGGCCCAAAAGATCAAAAAAGGGCAAAAGCAGAATTTGATTAAAGAGAAGAGGGCAGTGCTTAAAAAGGAACACCAAGTTAAGAAACGGAAAGAATCCTCACTAAGACACTTGTGCTAAGCATGTGTTGAATAATAATAAAACAATAGACACATTTTCTGAAAAAAAGACAGATAGACAAATGCACACACAAGAAGTTTAGGTTAAGGAAAATGAAGATTATTTAAAAATTCTTGTGTTATTATTACATGCAAATCAGGGTTTTTTTACAGAGGGACAAGAAAAGGGAGAAGAGAGTTGTTAGCTTAAAAAATAAAGATGCATTGTTGTAATTTATTGATCATAAACTGTTAATAAATTTAAATCAGAAAAAACATGGATCAGAATAATAATATAATAATAAAACTTTATTTATACATATGATACTCATTGACACTTACTTCTGTGAGACAATTGATAATAAGCTGTGAATACATGCGAATATTGTGAATTTGCAAGAGATGGGTTATTTTTGTGAGGTTCTTGCTTGCGTGTCTCCGCAAGCTAATAAAAAAAAATTATCTAAATTCAAAGAGACATTGAGTATTCCTGTCGAATAAAATGCTACTTCATGTATGCAAAATAAAATATGTTTATAAACGCTGGTGCTTATTTGAGAGCCATTGTTAAAAACGATATGTTTGGTGTACTGTGTGTGAGAATGGCACTTACCGATCATTTACAGTAGTCATTTAAAAGCTGTGATTTTAAGTACTTTTCTTTTTTGTTTAATAGAAATTCCCAATAGAGCGAGATGACAGCGTTCTCTGTTCCACTATGAAGCAATTAGCCATGACAGTCAATGATGTAAGTACCGTAAATAATTCAACAAAATTCATCTTATTAGCATAACATATTATATGGTTGTAATGAGCCTGTATAAGAATAATTGAAAAATTGATAAAAAAAAAATATTCAACCAGTGAAATAGTATTTAAATAACATACGTTAATAATGATACTTACCAACTAAAATTTGACAAGCAGCTAACATCAACACATTCAAACAGTTACTCATAACACATCTTTATCATTTATACAGTATTTTGCTTACTGTAATTCTAGATTGTTGTAAATTTTGATGTACTGTAGAGCACATAGAGGCTTAGCAAAATGGACTCAATCAAGATTGAAATATTATAATGTTTAGTAATCAATATATGTGTAGATTAATATATATTTTAATATGATGATGTTCCTAAGTTGCATTCTGTTCTGTACAATCTAATTTTGACTATATTTTGGCTTTTAATTTAATTTTGTATATGCCTAAAATTTAGTTATTTTAAATATTTAATACTGGTGGTTGGGTATCTATGTATTTTCTACATTATAAAGAAATTATGGAATTATTTGAGTGCAATGTATCTCTAAATGTATTATTTTGATTCCATTTTCAGATAAGTTCAGTTTACACTGTGCTGTCAACACAAGTTAGTGAGGGTGTGTTTCAGAGGCTCTCATCATTTCTGAATGGTGACATAGCTGATATCACAAGCTTACAAGAAGTCTATCACCAGTTAGATCAAGGTAATAATTACTTTGCAAGGGGTGGGGGATAGAGAAATCTTTTCTCGAGCAACTCTTTCATTAAACTTGCAAAAATATTTCTCAACGAAAATGTTGAGATTCATTAATTCTGTATGTGCCTGTTTGATCCTGATTTTGCATCGTGGTCACTTGATAATTATGAGATCTCTTGCAATATTATTTTATATTACATTCTTTTAATCTTAAATTTTTTTAAATGATATCTATTATATTTTTTGTGTTGTTTTCTGTTTGTTGAGTGCTGCCTTGGAGAGCCACATGATAGTGGCACTGTTGTGTACTTTTGGTTATCCTGGGTTGGCAGCACTCTTTTTTTTTTGTTTCTGTTTTTATTGTCCTTTTTTTTATTATTGTAATTTTGATTGTAATTTTTTTTTTTAACCCGAAATAAATTTGAATTTGAAAAAGTGGCAATTAAGGGCCTATGTTTTGAGTGAGTGGGAGGGGAAAGATTACAATTGAGTCTATGTTCAGGGTGGTGCAGTTGAGGGCCTATTTTCAAGTGGTGGTGGGACCTATGGTCTGAGGGAGAGGGCTTTGGGTATTTTCTTAATCTATTGTAGTTGTCCATGATGGTACAGCATTTTAGCCTTTATTTACATGATTTCACACTTGATTAGAGATTGTGGCTGTTGCTGCAGAGGTGACTGTGCCTTTCAGGGGCGGATCCAGAAATGTCCAAAAGGGGACCGATTGAGTTGGACCGATTGAGACTACACTGTCGTAGGGGGTCCGGGGCATGCCCCCGCGAAATTTTTGTGTTTTAGACGCCCGAACATAACATTTGAGGCATTCTGGGCTATCATTTTTTTCTTTTTCTCTCTTGTTTTCTTTTTTTTTTTTTTTTTTTACCTCCCAAAAGGGGGGGCCGGGGCCGAGCCGCCCCCTAAATCCACCCCTGCCCTTTGCCACATGCTTGATCCACTCTGATAAGTAACTAAAAAATAGATGTTCACAAAATAGTTAGTAGGCCTACTGTACATAAAATTATTTACCAGAATTCATTGTAGGGTTCTCATAGTTTTATATTCTCCATGTTTCATCATATATACTTTAGCTCTATGCTAACATTTTACCCTTTCCTAAGTCTTGTTAAGCATTAGAAAAATCACTAATAATTTACTTTTTTTTTTAAGCCATACTTACGGAGGGTAACCCTTCCCAGTGTGTCATAGATAAGTGAAATAGTGATGCATTATCAGTGCTCATTATATGCTGAGGAGTTCAAGATTTTTTTAGTTGTGAGAAAAAATCTTGTGCTATGGAATGGAAGGCAAGCATCTTACTTAACCACCAAGCTACAGTACACCTCTACTATCCTTGCTACAGTATCTTTCCATCAAAATACACTTTACTGTCTGCATTTATCTGCCAGATGTTAACATAAATATTCTGAGCTTTATTTCCTATTAATATAAACATCCTGTTCTATTCATCTTATGATTGGCTTCTCTTTCATTGTTCCATGCACTGATAGTGCTAATTGCTTCCAGTCCTCTCCATATTCATTCATTGTACAATTTTTTATACAATGTCCAACATTGCAATCTGGATCTTTAGTGCTCATGACTACAGCATTATCAATCCTAGCAATTAGTACAGGTAGAATGTATAGTAAATATTTGTAAAATCTTTTTTTGTTATTGTTATATATTAACAAACCAGTTGCTCCTCGCAAATCCAGTTCTAGAGATAATAACCAAAAAATGCTGGAATGTCAAAATTCTTTTAATCTGTTTCATTACACTAAACAAACCTTTACATATA